AAAAAAATGTGCCTTGGTGAGTTTTTATATCCTCGCTATCGATTAAGTCCGATCTCACAAAGATAATTTGTTTATGTCTAAAAGAGCAGAACTGGAGACTTAGTTATTAAGAATAATCAATATTATTTTCAGGACAAAACAGCTCGTCTTCCTCTGCTTTCGTGTTGAAAAGAAGATTTCGTTTTTGCAAAGCAATTGCATCCATCACATTACATTGTATACAGGGTGTCCCAAAAAGATGTGCACACTGTTTGATTGTTAATAATTTTCTTGCTTTCATGTCTTTTGCCGAGCTTGAAGTACCAATCTTCAAAGCGAGGCTCAACTTAGATTTACAGTATGGAGCGACTTATCAGCAGCTCTTCATTACTGTAGGATTACGGTAGGAATTTTGATTAGGACTTCAAGCCATTGAAAGCGGTATTTTGCTTTAGAAAGAAAGCCAAACAAGCCAGAAACTCTTGAATTGAGTTAATTGAAATCGGTGATTCTAAATATGGAAACTGCACGTCATACACTGTTTCTTTCTAGTTATTTCAGATTTAGGGTAACAACTGATTTTTCAATGTTTGTCAGAAATATGAATACGCCATCAAAAAGGCTCGAAAAACTGGTGGAAAGTTATGTAGTGAAATCAGCACGCCTGAAAACCTTGCTACACAAATTTTTGAATTTTTTCGGAATTATTTTATCAAAAGGCTGATTTCACAGTGACGCTATATGCTGAAAGTTCATACCGTAATCCTACAGTAACGAAGAGTGATTAGTGGTTCGCTCCATACTGTAAATCTAAGTTTATCCTCGCTCTACAGAATGGTACCTCAAGCTCGGCAAAAGACATGAGAGCAAGAGAGTTATTAACGATCAAACAGTGTGCACATCTTTTTGGGACACTCTGTAGTTCGTGTATCTGCTCAATTTTTACGCTGTATGATTGACACATATATACCTCCAATTGTTGTTTATGCCTTGATTTTTTATATGTGTGCTTCTTGATTGTTATCAGACTTTGTCTAAGTTCAAGCTTTTTATTTGAGATTTGCCAAAGCGGCATACAAGAAGGCGGTGTTTTAGAGCGAATGCTTACGGTTTCTATTTTAATTACATAAAATCAATCATAAGACATCATGATCCAAGAAAATCACGCAAATTCCGTTTCATTAAGCTGCACCCATTAGTTTTATTGATATTTGCGATACTAATAACACCAAATAGACAAACTAGACAGAGTTTTCAGGCTCCGTTATCAAGCGAATTTCGATATATCCTTTTAATAATGAGAGCTATTGCAATGCCCTCTCACATCACTTACATCAAAAACAGTTGGTACATTGTGAATTGTAATTCTGCCCCTTGAAACAACAAATCAACCACTCTCGTTCATTAATAAGAAGGAACAACAATTAGAAACAAAAATGTCAAGATGGAGCTAATTATGTAGATTACTGAGCAGCAAAAAAAATGGAGCAAATGTTCAGCAACATAGTTATTCGCAAAAATACTCTGACACTCTATCAGTAAATGAACGTATCCTTAAAAGCTTGATTTTTTCACTGACTGTGAAAAACAAGGTGACTGTTACAAAACTAGCTACTGAGAGACTATAAATCTCGCACTCTTATAGGCTTTAGAAAAATACTGTAACCTTTCAAAAAGCCACGGTGGATACTTGAATCTCAATAAGTTGCTCTGGCATTGTAATTGCCATTTATCGGCCAACGAAGACAAAGATCTGAAGTTCGGTGTTCTATGCCAAATTTGTCTCGTATATACCTAGCGATTATTGCAGAACAGACCCACTTCCATTCAAGGTGACGAGTTAGTCTCGCGCTCAGCGTGAACGCATGTACAGAATTGTGTTTTTCGGATTATCCACTCGAGTCCCACCTCCTAGCAAATGATCTAGACACATGCATTCTTGCTAATACTTGGTATTATGTCAACACAACGCTACCGACGGTTGAATTGCACATCTCGGGTAAGTACTGTTTGTATAACTATTATCTCCTGCATGAAGAATTACGAGAAAGTTTTGACATCATTTTGCTCTTTCCCAAGGATCAAGAAAAACTGTTTCAAATTTTTTTTCTCTTCGTAGTCACCCTATCAAATTCTATCACCTTATTTTTAGTGTTGTAGTATCTGACAGTAATGCTCTGAAAATAATGAGTTACATAGCGTGTTGCAACATTCTTTTCATCAGGGCTCGGCACGAGCTGGCACCAGGGAAATTTCAGAGCGAAGTCCTCTTTGATCTTTAAAATTTTATACGAAGTCCCCCTTGACCTGTTTTGAAGACCCGTCATTATTTTTTTTGATTCTATACAGGTGTGTAATAGGGTTTCCACGCATGCTGATTTCATGGAATAACTTTTCATAAGTTTTCTGAGCTTTTTGAATGGTTGAATCACATATGAGAAGCAGTGAAAAAGCAGATTTTTCGACTGCAGTGCAGACCAAGAAATTTTCAGATGCCAAAACACCGAAAAGAAGACATCATGAAATCCTTTCTTTTTCTTTATGTAAACTTTTACAGTGTAGATACTTTCTATGTAAAAAGGGATGGAAACTCATGTGAGCAAAGTGTCGGTGCCAGCTCAGCTGGGGGTGTATGTCAAGAGGCGCGATTCTTATTGCCAGATGGGCCGCGTATAGCACTATTTAGTGTTTTACAAAGTTCTAGAACCACTTGAAATCTGCAACGAAGTATTTTCGATAATTGCACGGGTTGCTCCACCTCATCATCCCGAAATCGATTCCAAACAAAATTGTTGAAGGTCAAAAACCCTTGAAAAATGCAGTTAATAGCAATTTTGTAAATAATCCGGTCAGTTTTCTAGCAGAAGTTGCCAAACTTATCAAGTGGTTACTTCAAACAGCTAGTAAGCCATGGAGTTTGTCCGGCACTTTTTGAACCCTCCCATAGCCCGAAACTTAGGTTTTAATTTGGTGACAGCCAGAAAAATCGCGCCTCTTGACCGTCTCCCCTCAGCTGGCATCCAGCTGGCACGGTGCCAGCTAATTCAGAAAAAAATTCAGCACAGCTTTTAATCAATAAGTTTTCATAAATTTTTGGGATCACAGTTCGGGCCCCCCGGGCGCATGCACATACCAAATTTGGTATCATACTATTGTTTTGGCTGAAAACAACGACTTTGTTTATTTGATGTACGGCATGCCGGTGGCGTGCCGGCGGCATTCTTGCGGCTGTCCTCCGCGTCGTACCCCGGAAAAACGATATCCCCTTTGCTTTCCGCCCCAAAAACGATATCCAGCTTGACCCGATGCCAGCTGTGCCGAGCCCTGCTTCTCATTCAAAACCTACTAAAAACTAACTGTTTTGCTCAAATCCTGAGATTATTTCTTCTTCGAAGCTTATACGTAGTTGAAATATTGATTTTAACTGTGATTCTTCTGTGTGCCAAGGCTCAGTTATTTTCTTTCGTAAATCAGCATCATAGATGGAAAGAAAATACAACCAGAAAGAAGAACAGAAAAAACCCCGAATAATTTAACAATAAGTCCTGCTTTTCCACTTTCACCAAAAGCAACGATGTCAATTTTTTTATTTTTTAGTGATTTTTTATTTTTTGAGGTCAACTTTGTGCCAGTGGGGAAAAGCTTTGCACTGTTGAAGTGCTGCAGATGTTTAAGCTTTTTTTGATTTTTTTTTCGAGAATTACAGAAGCAGCAATATTAGCTCTTTCCTTTTTCCTCATACGAAAACATTCCAGATTCTGCTTTATATATGGTGCTTAGTTTTCTTATGCCGCCAAGTTATGTGTTGCGTACCTACACGAACTACAACGGCTGCCCCTCAGACAACTCCAGCACCCGAAGAACCGATTACCGAAGAGCCGATTACCGAAGAGCCGATTACCGAAGAGCCTGAAGAAATAACCACAGAAGAAGAACCAGTGGAAGAAGAGACTACTACACCGGTAGAAGATGATTTACTATAACAACGCAACCAATAGATGCTCTCCGTTTTTTATAGTAATATGTATAAAAAATTTTCTTCTAAATGTTGGTCGGCCTTGAGACAATTCACGCTAGAGACGATAAGCTGGATTTATCAATGTGTTCGCAATTAGAGCGACTTATGAAACTAGGACGATGGTGTCGTATAGTCGAGAGATTGGTACAATAAAATATGGAGCGCACAACAAAGCATTTGCTCGGTAAGCCGCGCTATAAACTTTGCCAAATCGCCTTAAAAATTCAAATCATGTACTAAACAAAGACGAGAAAAGTGCCCAATCAAAATGTGAAAAAATTCGACCCTCACATACCTGAAGTATAGTTGACTGTAGCTTTTGATTTACCTAAGCCATTTTAGTTCGCTGATATGGGTGAATTAAAAATAAATAACAAAAAACCGTCTCTCGACGCTGCACCTCAGTGCTAGAACTTGGATTAAATGTTTGCTTGAGGTAAGTTCAAGTGATTCTTAAATTTCACTCGATGAGTGCTGTCAATTTTGTGAACATTTTGGTTGTAAGCACATTCATATGATGAATTGATGAGGAAGTGTTGTATTCACATCGCATGCCCATTTGAGGCGTCGTTACAAAGAGTTTTTGTGTGTCTTTGGTTCGGTTGATGATTCACATCATTAGCTACTAGGCATCGGATGCCTATGAAGGTAAGCTACATTCGATTGTCTTTTTTTCACTTCATATACTTGTTGACGGCGTTCATATAATTTTCAAATATCGAAGCAACGAAAAAAAAAGATTTACCACCCTTAGTTTGGTAAGGGACATGCACCATTGACAAAATCGAGGATTAAATTTTCGTTGTTCAGCAAACCTCACTATGGCCATTGCAAAACTAATGTCTCGAGTTTGCTAATTACATCCAGCGAAATAGTCGAAATGCTGATTAGAAAAGGCTACAGTTTTCTCAAAGAGCCATCAGAATAAATTAGTGACGATAAGTGGTTTGGAAGACATCGCACATCCTTTGATAGCTTTTCTGAATGATCCTGATCATGCACCTCACTCAACATCGCAACGGAAATCCACAACATTGCAACTGAAACTCCCGCAACATTGCGACAGAAGCTTCTGCAACAATCAACGAAACCACACAATATTGCAGCCCATCCACGACATTGCAACTAAAACTGAGACCTCGCAATCGAAACCCCCATAGCATTGCCAAAACCAAAATTTTCCACAACACTGCAACCGAAACCCACGCAACAATGCAACCGGCGCCACAGAATATTGCAAGCAAGCCACAACATCGCAACCGGAACCGTAATCACACGTAACCAAATGCACCACAACATTGCAACTGAAACCGCCACATTATTGCAACGCAAGGAAATGCTATACTGCAAAGCCGCAACATGAGTAACTGACTCTAAAAATTGTTAGGTCCAAAAAGGCGTCATTCTTTAATCGTATACTTTGTATGTGGAAGAGTGCTATGTGACGCGCAGTAGAAAATTTCGGCAAAACCACAGGAATTCGGAACTACCTGTTTCACAGCTGGAATCAGACAGAACTCGTCCTAGGTTTGCTTGATTATGTAAAAGGAAAAAAAAAGAATATTCCTTCCTCGATTTATTCCCAGCACATTAGCATATCATGTGTATGCTGATGGCGCAGTAGCAGTAATAGCAATAGAAAAAATTTCCAGGAAAACGTATAAATCATTACTGGGCGCTTATCTACCGTAAACCTTCGGCGTATGTTAGCTGCACTATACTTTTTGCCAAAGATGTGTCTCTTGTCGCATTGCATTGCTAAAAAGCAAACCAAGTTGACATTCAATTTTGACATTCCATTCTAAATACGACTCATGCTCAGGTTATTGCACAACTGACCTATTTTTCCTCTTGATGTAACGAGTTGCGTCTCAGCGCCCAACTTGTTGACCCTATCGCGTATGGAATTGTTTTTTGGATTATCCGCTCAAGTCCCACCTTCTTTGCGTATGGTTCACGACAAGTGCGTTGCTTGCTGGTTTCTATATATTCATGCAATGTCAATACTGCACTGGCGGCAAATAAGCTATACATCTCGGGTGAGTCTTCTTCTCTATCTTGGTCTCATTGCATGTGTAGGATCGAGCTTTATTCGATGTAACAATCTAATGTAAGATATATTGATGCATGTTTAGTCTCTTCCCTCGAAGAACAAAGAAACTGAGCAGCAATTTTTTCTTTATAAGATTCATCGATCTGTCATTCGTTTTTAGCGCAAAAGCCGCTGCTAGAATTATAATTCTGCTCAGTATGATGTTCGAAAAAGGTCCTACTCGTATTTTGCTGCGATTCTCACTTTTACATCTGATAGCAAAAATCAGCTTACACTTGTTATTTTGAGTTTTGCTTTGAAATTTGGATAACACTAATTGTGATAAAAAAATCTAGAGGATAACAACAATGAATCAGAATAATTCCTGGAAAAATTGTGTTTTCAAAGGTTGCTAACTCCTTTAACTAATTTCAATGTGATTTTGATTTTAGTTTGATCCTGAGGTTCCAAATCTGAATGCAGATGTCAAAAAGAAAAGATTCTGTGCCTCCTAGGGCCGCATGCATTAACAACCCCGCCGGGAAGGGGATCGCACAAAAGAAAGCTTCACTTCTGAAGCTTTAGATATCTGAATTTCAAGCCGTATAATCTATCCGTAAGTATTCTCATCATCCTTCATCTTGAACATATTGAACAGAGGCAAGAAGCTGTACAAGCAGCATTTTCCAGCTTTTTCTATGACATTCTCGTGGCCTACCGTCTTTTCTTCAGAGTCATTTCTTTCTTCGAAGTTAATGTTTAACTTCCAAAGTTATACTGTTCGTCTAAGCTAACAGTGCTAAGCATTTTGCTGACAAGAATAAATGAGTTTCTGAATGATCGCATTTTTCGACAAACCCCAACTTTCGACTTGTGGTTCATTGCAAATTCCATGATTTCAAAACATTATTGTTCTTATCCATGCCTATAAGGGAATGGTCAGAAGTCGAAGTGGCCAATCCGAGCAAGCTGTCCACCTTTCGATGCACCATCTAACTCTGATTTCGAGTCTGTATTCCAATTCTGCTTAGCGCCCTTGTGGACGAAGTTACGGGCAGTTTTATTGCGTACATGAAAACTGCAAAACTGAGTATATTGTTACTTTCAGCTAACCTTTTTTAAAGATATCAAGTAATTTATTTGCATTTTTAGCCTAGTTTTAAATCGAACATGGCTCCGTACTGCTAAATTTGCGCTTTGCATGCACGATTTCTTAGCAAAGTAACGGATTTTAACGGCTTATAACTTCGCCCACATAGGCGCTAAGCAGATGAATACAGATTTGAAGTCAGCGTTTTAAGCCGCATTTAATGGTATGCAACTTGTTTGGATTGGCCACTTCGATTTCTGAACATTCCCTTGTTAGCACTGTTGCGTTAGTTATATAATCGGCACAACTCTGGAATGTTTTCATTGACTTAGAAAGAAAATGGTTTTGAAGAAAAGACGGTCAGCAGCTGGGGAGGGGATCATACAAAATCTTGAAAATCGGCTTGTACAACTTCTCGCTTTTGTTCAACATGTTCGTAGTGAAGGATGATGGGAATACTCACTGATGGAAAGACAGCGTGAAATCCAGATATCTGGAGCTTCAAAATATGAAGTTTTCTTTTGAGCTGCGGTCCCTTCCCCGGCGGTGTAATGCATGCGGTCCTAAAACCTTAAAACTCCCTCGCGAATGGTACAATTGGTCTTATAAACTAAGCTACCCAACTGACACTTAAGAGATGATTTAACCCAAAGATAATTTTCCAGGTTATCCTCGCTATCTGGTGTTTTTCTCTGTTTCATCAGAGCTTGTGCTGTGCAGCTACGGAGGGTACAACAGTCTCTCTTGAAGAGACAACACCACCATTGACAACTACCATAAGCGTTGAAACCACCACAACAGAAGAAGAGGAGACTACAACCCCGCAACCGACAACTACAACAACACCACAACCGACGACCACCACAGTAGAAGAAGAGGAAACCACAACCGAAGAAGAGGAGACAACTACAACAACAACAACTCCGCAACCGACGACCACCACAGTAGAAGAAGAGGAAACCACAACCGAAGAAGAGGAGACAACTACAACAACAACAACTCCGCAACCGACGACCACCACAGTAGAAGAAGAGGAAACCACAACCGAAGAAGAGGAGACAACTACAACAACAACAACTCCGCAACCGACGACCACCACAGTAGAAGAAGAGGAAACCACAACCGAAAAAGAGGAGACAACTACAACAACAACAACAACTCCGCAGCCGACGACCACCACAGCAGAAGAAGAGGAGACCACAACCGAAGAAGAGGAGACAACTACAACAACAACAACTCCGCAACCGACGACCACCACAGTAGAAGAAGAGGAAACCACAACCGAAGAAGAGGAGACAACTACAACAACAACAGCTCCGCAGCCGACGACCACCACAGTAGAAGAAGAGGAGACCACAACCGAAGAAGAGGAGACAACTACTACAACAACAACACCGCAACCGACGACCACCACAGTAGAAGAAGAGGAAACCACAACCGAAGGAGAAGAGGCAACTACAACAACAACAACACCGCAACCGACGACCACCACAGTAGAAGAAGAGGAGACCACAACCGAAGGAGAGGAGATCACAACATCGCAGCCGACAACTACAACAACACTGCAACCGACGACGACTACAGTAGAAGAAGAGGAAACCACAACCGAAGGAGAGGAGATCACAACATCGCAGCCGACAACTACAACAACACTGCAACCGACGACGACTACAGCAGAAGAAGAGGAAACCACAACCGAAGGAGAGGAGATCACAACATCGCAGCCGACAACTACAACAACTCCGCAGCCGACAACTACAGCAACACCGCAGCCGACAACTACAACAACACCGCAGCCAACAACTACAACAACTCCGCAGCCAACAACTACAACAACTCCGCAGCCGACAACTACAACAACACCGCAGCCGACAACTACAACAACACCGCAGCCGACGACTACAACAACTCCGCAGCCGACAACTACAACAACACCGCAGCCGACAACTACAACAACAACTGCTCTTCGCTCTCTTTTCACTGTACAGCGAATCCAAGCGAGACGTCTTGATACTACTTAAATTAGTGAAAGTCATAAATGCTCTCAGCTAGTTAATTTGATTTAAGCTCAGTATGACTGTTTACGCTATCGCTCTTAACTAAACTCCACTTAATGTGACTGTTTATATCATCGAATCAAGTGTCCAAATGGAACAAATACTGCAGTTAAAATTTTGCGATGTTGTATTCGATTGTCTAGTGGTTTTGATACTGCTGGAGTCGAATTACAAATGTCTAAAAGCTTTTGGTTTTTGAGATTATTCAGAAACTAGTGTTTCTTTGCATAGCCGGTTACGATGAGGTCGAATGAAAGCACTTTGTAAAGTCCATTCCTTTACAATACCTCGATTATGATTTTGTCACAAAAAGCTTTCTTGGTCATTAGTTATGCGGTGGTTCCAATGCGCCATACTGTTCAATTTCTGTGCGATTTGCTCTCAACCACAACCAGGTGCCTGGCGGATGACATTTGCCAGTATCAATCTTTAAAATTGTCGTTTATTAATCCATGTTTTTTCTGCTTTTCGTTCACGTCAATAAATTTGATAACTTGGCTTGAGTTGAATGCATCGAGTGCTTTCGTGCACTCGGTTGGTGCTCGTGCCTATGATGAGCGCTCTCAGTGTTCACTGAGTGGTGGGACAGCGATCCATCATCACTATTATATAGAGCACTAGTTGGCAAACCCGGCTCCGCCCGGGCCTGTGAATAATATATCTGTAATCAGCATGCTCGATTACCCCCCTGTGCCAACTCCCAGCCCTGTAGCTCAAATTTTGCAAAAAATCGATAAAATCGATGTCGATCGATAACGAAAAGTAGCCTATGACACGCTCCCTGCTCCGACGTACATGTGTGCCAAGTTTGGTCCAAATCGGTTCATAAACAAAAATTTCTATTCCGCACATATGTACAGACAGACAGACAGACAGACAGACATACAGACGAACATTCAGCTTTATATATAAGATTTGAATATCAGTCATTTTTGTCATGCAGAAAGATCAGTAAAAGTTGAGAAAATAAAAGAAGATTGGTCTCTGTTTCTGGCTACTTCTGTGCCGTACACGTTTGTTAAACGAATTTTATTCTTCTTCCAATCACGACTCTACGTTTCGATGCCTTTATCTTTCTCAGAGGCCAGAAGAGCCGAAGCCGGCGAAACGTAGGCCGCTGACTGGAAGAATAGGAATTATCGCTTAACAAACCTGTTCGGCACAGAAGTAGTCAGAAATACAACGAATGCCCAGGTTTCATGAAAACGGGACTTGGAAATTGCAAAAGAGCAGCTCATATCCTTCATACAGAACCTGGGCTGCATTCGTACTTCGATAGTCCCAGCAGAGACCCAGTACAGCTCTCAGACTGTGGGAAATGTGCAATCGTTCCGATGATCAAAAATCTTTACCCTTCCTCCCCCCCCCCCCCCGCCTCCCTACTTCCTGTTGAACACCGCATGCGGACGAATGCACTCGCTGTAGCTGCTCGCATGCAGTATTGAGCGGGGTAATAGGAATTTTTGACGGTGATTTCACTCATTCTAACATCATTCTTCCACCAAGACTCTTCTCGTGAGAACGTCAAAGAGCCAGGCTGAAGCATAAACGCTGTTTTGCTGATATATCCGTGGATAAGATGTCTTTGTACGCTTTTTCGTCCTCTCTCCAACATTCTTTTCCAAATCTGTAAGAACTGTGGTCAAATACTTCACTAGCGATAAACAAAACAAACTTGAAAGAGACAACAAGAGAGGGAGATGGAGGACCAATCAAAGAAAATGGAAAAAGCACTGAAGTCGAACTTTCATCGACCGCCAGCGAGGCAGGAGCCACGAATAGCGTCTGGCACGCCAGTGCCCGCGCCGTCGCGAGCGTGATCTCTTAACTGGTAGATTATTGTATCTCGACATCATCCCGCGTTAGATGAAAATTTTAGCACTACCATCTAAATGGTTATCCAAACATTTTTTTTAGGAAAACTGCTTAAAAATCCATTGAATTTTCGTTTTTCCTGGCCTTATACGGTCCCTGGTCTACACACGCTGCCGATTCTGCGAAAGCGCGCAAATGACTTTCCATCACCGGCTCCTCTCCTATTTCTTCCTAGCTTAGGATCTTACTCCAGTGCTAACCTATGCGCGAACTCTTCATGCTCCGATGCGTCGGGTGGTGTATCCTCTGAATGAGCGAGCCATGAATTCACATACATATAGAGGGAGAAAGGTAGGAACGGTATGCATCTCATGCTGTTCGGTCACTTCGACTCCTCGATCCTCGCTTAGGAGAGAGAAAATGCGATAAACGCTCAAAAGCCTCTATCTCCCTCCGCTACTCCGCATACGGGTGCAGCACAGCAACAATTCTGGCACAGTTAAGCACTGTTCTGAAATGTCGGAACCGGATCAGTATGAATGCAGCCTGAGAAAATGTACCTAGATTCTCCTTAAGATTTCAGATAAAATCAGAGATAACAAAAAAAAACTCCGCTCTGAGTGAAACACCAAATAATCACCTAAAAGTGGGTTATTTAGTTAGATGGAACTTCTCATATCTCACTTTTTAGGAGAGTTGTAAAAAGGCAGAGGCAAGCCAATTTTTCAAGTCTCAAGTTTTTGAGTGTTCTATCAATTGCTGCTGCACGCATTTTGGCTCGGACCAAATTCATTGCGCATTAAAATAAGGTACCCTCAAACAGTACGTGTGCTGTTTAATCGTTAGTATCATCTATTCTACGACTAGGAGACGCGTGACCGCATTGCGGACATTGTCTTAACATGTTTGAGTTGTTCTTCCCTGTTTCCAAAGAGTGCATAAACGTGGGCGAGATGAATGACAAGTATAAACCTGCTAAGCACACGATTAAGCTTGTTTAGACAATGTGTGCAAAGCGGTCTCGGGTCTCCTAGTCCTAGAATGATACATACCTCTCTTGTGCTCCAATGTCTTCCATTTATTCAGGGATTTTTGTGTAGAGCAGGTCTCAATCAGGGTCCGGCACGAGTCGGTTTCTAGGGTTTCTGAAAACGAACTCTCCCCTGACTTTCGGGGGTTTTACGAAGTCCCCTTTGACCTACCTGCTTAGGAAAAGATGAAAACAAAAAAGATTTACTAGCTTGAAAGAAAAGACGTAAGATAAGAGTGAAAATCTAAATTGGAGCTAAATACTATGCATGCACAAGACTTTGGCATTAGAGCGCGATATTTAACAGAGCGGGAAATGAAGGCAAAAAACAAAGGAAAGGCAATGATATGAAAATGGCTTTATGCTCAGGGATAGATTTTTGACCCGGGGAATCCGTCCATGCTGAAAAGATCCGAAACTTATGTGAAGTGACGAAAATATATGCTCCAGACGATCTCAGATCGTCTGGTGGCCATCTGGAGACGATCTAATTATTAAAAAGGTATTACTTCACATAAGTTTTCAAATCTTTTTACATAATACTTTCGCAAATAATTTTCTATACATACAGTTCAATTTTTGGCGTCATATGCTTCTGTGCGCGCTGTAAACAAACAATTTGTTTTTTAAGCCTTGCTTTCAAATCGCGCGCACTTTTTGCCATGCAGGATAGAGCATGTCAGTCGTGTGATAACCTGTCCGAAAAGCTTGTGTTCGACTAAATGGCGCTTATTCTTGGTGCTCGGCTCCGACCCATCAAAAACGATATTCCCTTTGCTGTTTGTTTCAAAAACGAAGTCCAGCCTGCTTCCAGACGATCTGTGCCGGGCCCTGGCCTCAATCCACACGAGAAGGCATGAGTAGAGTAGTAGTCGAGTAAAAAAGCTACAAGAGCTTTGCACCGATCTATTATTTTTAATATGATTTTGTTTCTTAATTTTTCAGCCACGTGAAAATTATAGCAACTAATCAAATTGGGTTGGCGCGGAAGTTGTGCGTAATTTTGAAGAAGTGCAATAATTTCCCAGATTACAAACCTAAAGGCTACTGCATGAGGAAGGCGCAGAAGCAGTATTCGTAGAGCGGGCGCGAACGCGACGCGCGCGTATATTCATCGTTGTAAATCCTGAGCCTTATGCGCCCTGCGGCTAATAAGGCCGCGTTCGCGTCCAAGAATGTGCGCCTTCGGCAGGGTTCATACTGAGCCGCACAAAGTTCCAGCACAGCGCTCGAACTGTGCTCGAACTGTGCCGCTTTGTGCGGCTCAGTATGAACCCTGCCTTCCTTACGCAGCAGCCTATACATTCATGGTTTCCAAAAAAAGTAAAAGCTTTTTGCACAACTATCTATATTCCAAGTACTGGTTGGCTGGCTCTGGAAAAGCAGGCTTGTAAAAAACATCACCCTGCAGGAAAACTCCCCTCATAATTTACCTAAACTACTGTCATTTTTTCAAGGTGTCAAATGAAGTGTAGTGTTATAGACATTCTTTCAGACACATTCTACGAATCTTATTTTGCAGTTTTATGCGACTTTAAAGCGACCTCAGTAATTTATAGGTTACTACTACATCACAAATTTTGAAAGATTTTGTAGGGCTAGCTAGCGACGCTCTAGTATTTTCTCAACTCAAAAAAATTCGAAATGCCGTTCAAAAAGCATGTTTCTTAGAGCACAGCCAGGGCCCGGCACGAGGTGGGCAGACGGGGTTTTCCAAAACGAATTCCCTTTTGACCCCAATGGTTTTTACGAATACCTCCTTGAGCCCAAAAATGACGCTTTGTGCTTGTGGAACGAGAGCACCAGCCACACTTCGCCTAAAAGCGCTCGAAAGCGCCCAAAATGCTCAAATTCCTCTAATTACTCCTCACCTGTATCAAGATAGGAAACAGGAAGAAGAATAAGCAAGGAAAATGATGAAGGAATAAAAAAATATCAAAGGAACGCAGTCATAGGACTGAGAGACGCCGTTCCCGCGCGTATTGATTGACTGGGGCGCGCTTTCCATCTTAGAAAGCTAGGATGCTGATGCGATTTTGGGCTCTAACAAAGACAAGAGGAGGAGTTTCGGAACCAAAATCTCACCATATAGTAAACTTTAGGTGAACAACAGATTTATGTAAAAATTTTGAAAAAATTATGTGAACTGAAAGTTTTGCCCACCTCAGGTGGGCATTAGGTGGGCAATTGCCCACCTAATTTGGAAAAAAGTTAAGCACGCTCTTCATTCACATAAGTTTTTCATAATTTTTCATACGTTGTTCCTTAGTCCTACTGCGCGTATACACACCAAGTCTCGCGCGATTTCGTTTTCTCTGCGCTGCAAACGAGCCATTTTCCCATTTTCTTGATAGTGGGGAATTTTCAGAAAAAAGCTTGCCACAACCTTCCTTCACATAATTTTTTAATGAAACTTCTAAGGTAAGCTCTGCAGGCCCGTATTCATGTACCTACCAAGTTTCATACCGTATGGTCATCTGCGCTGCAAACGAGCCATTTGAATTCACTTCATTTACCAGTTTTGCGAAATTTTTGAAAAAAAATGCTTATAACACCTCCCATTCACATAAGTTTTTCATAATATTTCATGCTTTGTTTCTACTAGCCTCTCTTTGTTCGCTTACGTAATTTGGTGCTATATCATTACGCCTGCCTTGAGAACTGATCATGTAATCATGCCGTTCAACGGCATTGCTAATGCGACGTCGCGCACGCGGCAATTAGCGGCAACGCGGCGTAGTGCGCGCGAAGTCTGCTGTGCGTTGAGGTTTACAAAAACTATTTTCCGATGAATTAGATGTATAAGGTAAGCATAATTTGACCTTCTTTTGCTTGCACTTGGAATCTTCTTCCGGGGCTCCGCCCCGGATCCTGCAAAAACGATATCCCCTTTGCTTTTTGCCCCCAAAACGATTTCCAGCTTGTCATTTGCCCACCTCGTGCCGGGCCCTGATGCAGAGCACAATAGTGAAAATGTCACTTTGAACACTTGGTCTGATCTGAAATGGTAACCACAGCGAATGTCGTAAGAGAATGGTGAATTGCCTTGGCTTGACAGATGTGCTGTATATCAGATCAAACTAATGTGAATAAAGATAGAAATGGCACAAATAAATGATGTCAAAGAGCGATTATAAACCATGCATAAGAAAAAGCGAAAGCAAAAATATTGAAAGAAGACTACTGAACAACTCAACATGAGATAACGACTATTTCGCAACTTCCAGATTCTCCACCATACAAACGCGAGTAACGTGCGTTGGGACAAATTCGCACCAAAGATGAGACAAAAAGGAGATGGCATCTGATTTCGGATACAATTATTTCTTTGATTTTTTGCAAACAAAAACTCTCTGCGGGCCGGGAATTGGCATACAAGATGTCCCCAAAAGTGTGCACGCTGTTTGATCATTAATAACTCTCTTGCTTTTGTGTCTTTCGGCTTGAGGCACCATCCTGTACGACGAGTTGAACTTAGATTTACGGTATGAGCAAAATACAAAATATCAGTCACTCTTCATTATAGAGTTACGTAGGCACTTCAAGAAGGAGTTTCGGAAATTGAAAGCGATGTTTGCCTCAAGAAGAAAATCTAGGTCAGAAACTTTTGCACTGGACTAATCGAAGTCGCTGATTCTTAATATGAAATTTGCACTTCACTGTATGTTTCTTTCACAAGTTATTTCAGGTTTAGAGTAACAAGCGTTTTTCATTGTTTGCCAGACGTGTAATTACACCATTGAAAAAGCTGAAAAGCTGGTAAAAAGTTGTGCAGTGAAAAAGCTTGAAAACACTGCTACATAAATTTCCGAATTTTTTGGAAATTTTTGCTTCAGAAAGCCTATTCCACTGTGGCGCTGTATGCTAAAAATTCATACCGTAGTCCTACAGTAATGAAGGGGGATTATTGATTCGCTCCTTACTTCAAGTCTAAGTTGACCTCGCTCTACAGAATGATACCACAAGCTCGGCGAAGGACGCGGAAGCAAGAGAGTTATTAACGAACAAACAGTATGCACATCTTTTTGGGACATCCAGTACTATATTAGGTTGCCTCATAACTTCATTCAATTTTGACTTTCTAAAGCAATAAATCACACATTTCTCAATTTGATTGAGATGCAGGATACCGTTTGATAGGGTAAAGCAAGCTCTATGAGACGGCGTGTAATCGTACCAGCTTCACTAGTTAGAAGCCAAAATCTGAGGACTTTTAATCGCCCAGGAAATTGAAATTTCTATAACTTTGCCTTAGAAAACTTACCAGATCTCAAAGTCGCTCACGCATATACACTTTACAGAACACATTCATATGTGCCATTGCTGTGTTTGTTTCTGTACGAAATCGCGAGAAGCAAAATATTCAAGCATTTAAAAAAAACGATGCTGAGCTGTATTCACATGGGTAAGCGTATACTACAGGTCTTTAGAAGTACAGTTCAGAATTCCAGCTTCCTGTAAGCTTTAGTTCCCGAGGAATATTAATTTCAACATAAAATATGTACCTTGGCAAAAAAACCTAAATTCGATTATTTTCAAGAACTAGCGCTTCCAGAGAGCTGAAAATTTACCGATGTATTACAGAAGGTCTGCGCATTTAACCATGTGAAAAGAGCGCAGCATCGCTTTTTTAGAAGCTTGAAAACCTTAGTTTTCTCGGTTTCTAGCACAGAAACAGGCACAGCAACGGCAGATATGAATGCGTTGTCTGGAGTGTATACGTGTGAGCGAGTTTCAGACCTCTAAGTTCTCTTTGGACAAAGTTGTAAAGAACTCTCGTTTTTTTGGGCATTCAAAAGTTCCAGGTTTCGGCTTCTTTGTGATGTGCTGGAACTGTTGAGAACTTACACGTGGAGCCGGGTGTGCCAGCTTTTCATAAAATATGATTGCAGCAATTCTAAAGCTGTCCCTCTAATCGTCCCTCTTCGTCTAGCTTCTTGATCTCACTCCCTCTCCCCCCCCCCTTTCGTTCGAGCTTTCAGAAAAAAAAAACAAGTTGTGTGGAGACGTTACACACTTCCTTTGCTCTTGGAAGCGAAAATAGCAAA